ACATTGTGACCTCATATTATGTAATAAGTGCTTTGTTCTCGTCCCCTTGAGCACCAGCAATCCTGGGGGGTGGGGGGCATGGCCCTTCTCAGTCGTGGGCACTGCTGTTGTATCCTGGCCGCTGGGTCACTGCCCACAGACTCCTGTGACACGTGGACCAGCCTGACTGCCATTGGTCACGAAGCCCAGCAGCTGGCACAGGCAGGCTGGGTGCAGCAAGGGGTGCAGCCTGTGTTGGTTGCCCGAATGATGACTGCAGAGTCCACAGTTAGCAGAAAGGGCTTTTGGGAGAGACAGGCAGTCCCTCACAGGACCTTTTTTTTTTTTTTTTTTTTTTTTTGAGACAGAGTTTTACTCTTGTTGCCCAGGCTGGAGTGCAATGGTACAATCTCAGCTTACTGCAGCCTCTGTCTCCTGGGTTCAAGAGATTCTTCTGCCTCAGCCTCCCGAGTGGCTGGGATTACAGGCATGCGCCACCACACCCGGCTAATTTTTTTGTATTTTTAGTAGAAATTAGCCTGTTGGTCAGGCTGGTCTCGAACTCCTGACCTCAGGTGATCCGCCTGCCTCGGCCTCCCAAAGTGTAGGGATTACAGGTGTGAGCTACCGTGACCGGCAACAGGAGCCCTTTATAGGTCTCTGTGTGGCAAGTACAGCCCTGATCTGCTTGGGAAAGGGCTGCGGCTTCCTGGGCTGTGTGGGTTTCCTGGCTTCTCTCTGCTGTCCCCGAGGAGCTTTGGAAATGGGTCACAATGCAGGCGGTAACTGCAGCCCCCCTCAGGCAGAGCTGAGTGGCTCAGTGTTCCCTCCCAAGGCTTGATCAGAGCTCCTCTGGGCCACGTAGCACCACCAGGAGATGGTGGACCAGGAGTTGGGACCCTGATCTCCCACCCTGGCTGGGTCATGCCCACCATGCCACTTGACTCTTGGGGACCTGCCTGGAAGGTGAGGAAGGGATCTGTGCCACCTTGTCCCTGCGGACCAAGTCCTGTTGCACCTCAGGTGGTCACAAATCTGCTTTCAGAAAAATCATGGGGGTGGGGCTGGGGGGCTGCTCAGCTGTGAGATCATGACAGATATTTCTGATCATAGATCACAGTGAAGGTTTTTGGGCACCTAACTCAGAATGAGTAGATTTGGGATTGTTTTGCTCTAAGAAAACTCCACCCTAGACCAGGTGCAGTGACTCACACCTGTGATCTCAGCACTTTGGGAGGCTGAGATGGGCGGATCACTTGAGATCAGCCTGACCAACATGGTGAAACCCCATCTCTACTAAAAACACAGAAGTTAGACAGGGGCAGTGGGACGTGCCTGTAATCTCAGCTACTTGGGAGGCTGAGGCAGGAGAATCGCTTGAACCCGGGAGGCAGAGGTTGTAGTGAGCAGCCTCCTGAAGGAATTTTCTTTTTCTGATTTATTACAGAGCCAGAGCTCTCACTATCTTGACCTGGCTGCGTGCATCACCATGTCCAGCCTGGATTTTTCTTTTTGTGCTTGAAAACTTTTGGTCACTGAAATATTTTTAAAAAATTAAATTTCTGGCCAGGCACGGTGGCTCACACCTGTAATCCCAGCACTTTGGGAGGCTGAGCTGGGCGAATCAGGAGGTCAGGAGTTCGAGACCAGCCTGGCCAACATGGTGAGCCGAGATTACACCACTGCACTGCCGTGTGGGCAAGACAGCGAAACTCTGTCTGAAAAAAAAATTAAATTTCTTTTTTTCTTTTTCTTAAGAAGGAGTCTTGCTCTGTTGGTGTGGCTGGAGTGCAGTGTCGACATCTTGGCTCACTCTGCCTCTGAGGGCAGGTTCAAGCCATCCTCCCACCTCAGCCTACCAAGTAGCTGGGAGTACAGGTGCGGGCCACTATGCCCGGCTAATTTTGATGTTTTTAATAGAGACAGAGTTTCACCATGTTGGCCAGGCTGGTCTCAAACTCCTGATCTCAAGTGATCTGCCCACCTTGGCCTCTCAAAATGCTGGGATTACAGGCATGAGCCACTGCACCCAGCCTAAAAATTAAATTTCAATTAGATAAATATGATAGGGTAATCAATATTAACCTTCAGTCATTAACATGTATTACTAAGATCCTGTGAAGGAGGGGAACAGAAACCAACCTGAAGCAAAAAGAGAGCAAATGTTAAAGAGCTTATTCATAGCTATTTTTTTTTAAAGGGATGATGGTAGGTTTCAAATTAGTAAAGCATTTAGACTCTGTAGCTAGATTTAGCGGAGCCCTGTAAATGTTTATATAAAATGTTTAATACTGACGGTAGGCCAGAAATGACATCTTTTGCAACTCTTAAAGCTTAGGTAGAAAATAGTAGATGTCACCTTAAAAATGTTGGGGGTGTATATAATATTTGCAAAATTATTTTTGGAGCAAAAAGTTTGCAGAGCCCTGAGTTTGCACGCTTGTACATATTTCTGTCTGATTCAGGGTGGGAGGGTGGTGGCAGCTGGTGCTTCTCAATGAACTGGATCTCTCCATGTGGATTTTTTTTTTTTTTTTTTGAGACGGAGTTTTGCTCCATCACCCAGGCTCGAGTGCAATGGTGTGCTCTTGGTTCACTGCAAACCTCCGCCTCCTGGGTTCAAGCAATTCTCCTGCCTCAGCCGCCCAAGTAGCTGGGATTACAGGTGTGCCCCACCATGCCTGGCTAATTTTTTGTATTTTTAAGTAGAGACGGGGTTTTACCTTGTTGGCCAGGCTGGTCTTGAACCCCTGACTTCGTGATCCCCCCACCTTGGCCTCCCAAAGTGCTGGGATTACAGGCACGAGCCACCGTACCCAGCTTCCATGTGGATTTTTATTATTTTATTTTTTGAGACGGAGTTTTGCTCTGCTTGCCCAGGCTGGAGTGCAATGGCAGAATCTTGGCTCACCGAAACCTCCGCCTTCTGGGTTCAAGCGATTTTCCTGCCCCAGCCTCCTGAGTAGCTGGGATTATAGGCATGCGCCACCACGCCTGGCTAATTTTTTGTATTTTTAGTAGAAATAGGGTTTCTCCATTTTGGCCAGGCTGGTCTGGAACTCCCGACCTCAGGTGATCCTTCTGCCTTGGCCTCCCAAAGTGCTCGGATTACAAGTGTGAGCCACTGTGCCCAGCCTATTTTATGTTTTCTGAGACAGTCTGACTCTGTTGCCCAGGCTGGACTGCAGTGGCACGAACTGCTCATCGTAACCTCTGCCTCCCAGGTTCAAGTGATTCTCATACCTTAGTCTCTGGAGTAGCTGGGACTACAGGCGTATGCTACCACGACCGGCTAATTTTTGTATTTTTAGTAGAGATGGGGTTTCTCCATGTTGGCCAGGCTGGTCTCAAACCCCTGACCTTAGGTGATTCCCCCTGCCTCAGCCTCCCAAAGTGCTGGGATTACAGGCATGAGCCACTGTGCACAGCCTCAATTTTTTTTTTTTTTTTTGAGTCAGGGTCTCGTTCTGTCACCCAGGCTGGAGTGCAGTGGTGCGATCTCAGCTCACTGCAACCTCCACTTCCCGGGTTCAAGTGATTCTCCTGTCTGAGCTTCCCAAGCAGCTGAGATTACAGGCGCGCATCATGACACCTGGCTAATTTTTGTATTGTTAGCAGAGATGGGGTTTCACCATGTTGGCCAGGCTGGTCTCGAACTCTTGATTTCAAGTGATCTGCTCGCCTCTGCCTCCCAAAGTGCTGGGATTACAGGCATGAGCCCCAGCACCCGGCTGTCTCAGAGATCTTAGTGGCAGTGATACCACGATAGTGGCAGCCACAGATGTCATCAAGTGAGCATGGTGTGTTCCGATACAACTCTATTTATGGACACCGAAATTCGAATTTAATTTTCACGTGTCATGAAATAGGTTTCTTTGATTTATTTTCCACCTGCTTAAACATGTAAAAACCTCATTTATTTTTAAAGCCATTTATAGTTTGTTCAAAAGCCAGCAGTAGACCAGAGTTGCCCTATGGCCTGTAGTTTACTGACCCTTTGTCTAAGCCATCACTATCTTCACAGAATTATTTCCACAACCTTTAATTGGACTTTTTTTTTTTAAGACAGAGTCTCTCTCTGTCGCCTGGCTGGAGTGCAGTGGCGCAATCTCAGCTCACTGCGACCTCCGCCTCCTGGGTTCAAGTGATTCTCCTGCCTCAGCCTCCCGAGTAGCTGGGACTACAGACATGAGCCACCATGCCTGGCTAATTTTTGTATTATTCGTAGAGACAGGGTTTCACCATAATGGGTAGGTTGGTCTCGAATTCCTGACCTCATGATCCGCCCACCTCAGCCTCCCAACCCGGCTAAGTCTTGGAATGTTTTTGTAGACAGGGGTCTTGCTATGTTGCCCAGCCTGGCCTCAAACTCTTGGGCTCAAGTGATTCTCTTGCCCTGGCCTCCCAAAGTTCTGGGGTTACAGGCATGAGCTAGCATATCTGACCTGCACTCAGCTTTTGACCACTTTATAAAAAACCGTAGGCTGGGCACACGGGCTCACGCCTGTAATCCCAGCTACTCAGGAGGTCGAGGCAGGAGAATTGCCAGTGAGCCGAGATCATCACACCACTGCACTCTAGCCTGGGTGACAGCAAGACTCCATCTCAAAAAAAAAAAAATTTCTTGCCCCCTTCAACCGCCACTCCCTGTCCCCTTTTCTTTCTTTCTTCTTTCCATGTCACACGTCACCTTTGAATATATTACATACAGTGATTTATTTCATTGTCACTCTCTGCTAAGACGTCAGTCCCAAAGGGATTTTTGTCTCTCCTTCTAAAGCTGAATCCCAAAGTCCTTAAGTTTGTGCCTGGCACGTGTCAGTGAACAAACAAGCCCCAGTTTCTCATCTGCAAAGGGTATGAATACCTTATCAAGGAGATGATTCGGGTGGAGGATGAGCCTCTGTACCTGGCCGTTTGGGAGTGGGGGGAGGTGTTAGCTGCCACCGTGTGCATGAGGTCGGCCACATAGATCCCAGTCTAGGCTCTTTGGCAAGCTGAGCTCGTGGGGGTGGACTAACCTGTCTGCCAGACTCGAGCAGTGGGGTGTTGGCCAGGATAAGCTCCTCTTGCTCCTCCAGTCAGCTTGTGTCCGAAGGGCTTAGCCTCTGGCGCGCTTTCAGCTTCCTGGTCCAACAGCGCCTTCCTGCCCTGAGTTGGAAAGAGACCCCGGTGTGGTCACCAACTGCAACCCAGCCGTGGGTGCAGGGATGCAGAGATGCTGTTCTAGACCATCCCCTGGGAACCTGGGGAGTTGAGTGGTTGGTCCCTGCGCTGGAGCTCCTTGAGCGCTGGCCCCAGCAGTGTCAGTTTTTTTTTTTTTTTTTTTTTTAGATGGAGTCTTGCTCTGTTGCCCAGGCTGGAGTGCAGTGGTGCAATCTTGGCTCACTGCAACCTCTGCCTCCCGTGTTCAATTGATTCTCCTGCCTCAGCCTCCTAAGTAGCTGGGACTACAGGCACACGCCACCACGCCCAGCTAATTTCTGTGTTTTTAGTAGAGACGGGGTTTTACCATGTTGGCCAGTCTGGTCTCGAACTGCTGACCTCAGATGATCTGCCCACCTTGGCCTCCCAGAGTAGTGGGGTTACAGGCGTGAACTAACACACCCTGCGTTTTCCTTTTTTTTTTTTTTTTTTGAGACAGAGTTTCGCTCTTGTTACCCAGGCTGGAGTGCAATGGCGCGATCTCGGCTCACCGCAACCTCTGCCTCCTGGGTTCAGGCAATTCTCCTGCCTCAGCCTCCTGAGTAGTTGGGATTACAGGCACGCACCACCATGCCCAGCTAATTTTTTTTATTTTTAGTAGAGACGGGGTTTCACCATGTTGGCCAGGATGGTCTCGATCTCTTGACCTCGTGATCCACCCGCCTCGGCCTCCCAAAGTGCTGGGATTATAGGCTTGAGCCACCGTGCCCGGCCTTCCTTTTTTCTTATAAGGACACTCCTTTTTCTTATGAAGTCCACTGCCTACATTCAGGATAATGTCATCTCAAGATCCTGAATTATGTCTGCAAAGACCCTATTTTTTTTTTTTTTTTCTTTTTTTTGAGATGGAGTCTTGCTCCATCACTCAGGCTGGAGTGCAGTGGCATGATCTCTACTCACTGAAACCTCCACCTCCCAGGTTCGTGGGATTCTCCTGTCCCAGGCTCCTGAGTAGCTGGGATTACAGGCAACAGCTAGCATGCTTGGCTAATTTTTTTTGTATTTTTATTAGAGACAGGGTTTCATCATGTTGGCCAGGCTGGTCTCGAACTCCTGACCTCAGGTGATCCGCCCACTTCAGCATCCCAGAGTACTGGGATTACAGGTGTGAGCCACTGCACCTGGCCAATTACTGTATTTTGTGTAGAGACAGAGTTTTGACATGTGGTCCAGGCCACAGGAATTCCCTAATTCCTAATCAGCCCTGTGTGTTAGATCTCACAGACACATCCATTTACTAGTTGGAGAAGCCAAGGCTTAGACAGGCAAGACAGGTCTGACACAGCCTCTGTGGCACTGCCTCTCCGTCAGCATTGGGGACATGCCCCTGCCTTTCCAGGTGCATCGGGGGTCTTAGCTTGTGATAGAAGGCATTGGCACAGCTGTAAACGCTGCCTGGGCCTTTCTGTGGCATGAGTTGCTGACAGACCTTTTGCTCTGGTACGGCCTGGATGTGTGAGGCTGTGGGGCAGAGGCCAGTGGGCTGAGTCCTCAGGCCAGGCAGAGGGGCTCAGTCCTCAGTGTCTGCCGGAGGATCGAATCCAGGGTGGGGTTTTTTTTCCCCTTCTTTCATCCCTTCTTTTTATTCTTTTTATTTTTTTTTTTGAGATGGAGTCTTGCACTGTCACCCAGGCTGTAGTTAGGTGGCACGATCTCGGCTCACTGCAATCTCCCTCTCCAGGGTTCAAGCGATTCCCCTGCCTCAGCCTCCCGAGTAACTGGGATTACAGGCATGAGCCACCACACCCAGCTAATTTTTGTATTTTTAGTAGAGATGGGGTTTCACCATATTGGCCAGGATGGTCTTGATCTCCTGACCTCATGATCTGCTCATCTCGGCCTCCCAAAGTGCTGGGATTACAGACGTGAGCCACTGTGCCCAGCCCGCCTTTTCCTTTCTCTGTTGCACGCAGCCCTGCTCTCTAGAATGGAGGCATTATTTTATTGTAGGAGCTTTGGCCTAAGCAAGCTGGGTGGGCACTCACATTGGCACTTCCAGGCTGCTTACCTCGGACAAGGATTTCCTTGTTCCTAAGCCCTGGTTTTCCAAGCCACCTAACAGGCGTCACAGTCCCTTGCTTACAGGTCCTGGGCAAGGCCTGGGTGGCGGTCTCAGCACAGTCTTAGGTACAGGGTGAGCATCTGATAGATGTCACTCTTGCTGGCACATCTGGATGAAACAGGCTAGAGCAGCGCCGCTCTGGGTGGGCCAGTGGTCCTGGGAGGCCCTGAGGGCACAGTCCCAGGGAGGGGCTTAGGCTGTGGGTGCCACGAAGCACGCGGGGCCGGCCCAGGGGTGAGACCCAGGTTCTCCAACTTCCCGCTGTATTTGTCCTGTGTCACGTTCATCCTCAACTCCTGTGACTGTGTTGCCCAAGCTAGGAGCTCCTGCGTCCAATGGCCATCCCTCAGGGCTGGGTTGCTACCTGCTCGCTCGGGGCTCTGCTGGGTGGGATCAGCAACCCCAGGTTCTCCGGGCCTGGGCTACCGCTGCGCCTGCACCTGGCCTTGGCCCTGGATCCAAGAGCCTCGGGACACTGGCCCTCTGACCCTGGCACCTCTCGTCTTGCCAGCAGGGGTGGAAGACCGGATCAGAGCAGTCAAGGGGTGGGAGTGAGAGGCCAGTGTCTCTCAGCCCTTCCTCCCCACCCTGGGTGACATTCTCCTTCCACTGTGGTGCCCCGGGGAGGCTGGCACAGCTGCCCCTGGGTGCTACTGAGAAATGACGTCATGTGCCGAGGCCACTGGGGAAGGTGGTATTTCTGGCCGAGCAGGTGTGTGGCCTGTGCAGGGCTCCTGGCAGCTGAGCCCTAGGTCTTCTCAGCCATCCGGGCATTAGCAGGTTGACTTGATATTTCTGGAAGGAGAGGGAGCTGAGAGTACCCAGCCGCCGAGCCGGAGTCCAGACGAACGTGCCAGAGTCTCTGCATTTGCGATGGGGATGAGGTGGCCGGTGTGGCGCTGGGCATGATCAGGCCAGGCCTCTATCTTCTGTGCTGGGCGTTGCCTGGACAGAGAGCTCACGCAGTGCGGGCAGCAGTGCTTGTGCCCAGCTGGCCAGCGGCAGGACCCGTCGGGCCCTTTGTGTCTTTACCTGGGGCCCTGGTTGCGCCGACCAGGGTTCACACCTCCAGCTAGTCCTCCTGTGCCCCAGACTTGGGAGAAGATGCCTCCTCCTAGGGAGCCCAGTCCCCTGTGGGGTCTGATGGAGCCTGCTGGAACTTTGAGCTCAAGATGTGGGCTGCGTTGCACTGCATCAGCTCTGCGAGGGGCCCTGGGGCCCGTGTGTGGTGGGGTATGGCCTGGCTTTGAACATGCACCTGTGGTCTTCCAGGCTCTGGGATTTACTGCTTAGATCTCGGCCTCTTCATCTGTGAAACAGAGCTAATGGCTTCTGCTCCCTCCGGCCACTGTGGGAGAGACATCTGGGAAGCTGCGGCAGTTCCAGCCCCGGGCAGGGAACGTGAAATAACTGTTGGTCGCTATTGTTACCCATAACCATCAGGCAGGTCACATCCTAGGACACACAGAAGTTGCAGGTGCATAAGCCATGGGTGGTGGGGCCGGCCCAGAATCCAAGCTCCTGCTCTCCCCTTTGAGGCTGCAGTGAGCCATGATTGCACTCCTGCACTCCAGCCTGGGTGCAAAGCAAGACTCTGTCTCAAAAACAAAAAAAACCAGGCCAGGCGCAGTGGCCCATGCCTGTAATCCCAGCACTTTGCGAGGCTGTGGCGGGAGGATCACAAGGTCAAGAGATCGAGACCATCCTGGCCATGGTGAAACCCCATCTCTACTAAAACACAAAACTGAGCTGGGTGTGGTGGTGGTGGGTGCCTGTAGTCCCAGCTACTCAGGAGGCTGAGGCATGAGAATCGCTTGAACCCAGGAGGCGGAGGAGTCTGCCCCTCATCTAGGGCTGAGAGGGCGGGCAGGTGGCTTGCTGGGTCTTGTGATGTGGACTCTGTCACCAGCAAGGCCACTGAGCCTGGTTGTTTACAGCCAGGAGGGGACTGGGAAGCACCAGGCTTGGCTTGTTTGTGGAGCTGGAGAAGCAAAGCTTCAGAGGCCTTCTGGGCATGGCTGCCGTGCCAGGCCTGCGGGCTGTGCCTCCAGGGGGTGAGCAGGAGTTGCAGGCTCAGCTCTTCCAGCCTGGGCTCGGTGCTGCCTGCCCCTCCCTCCTGGGGCTCAGGTCAGAAACCCCGATTCCCTGCACGTCTCAGCCCCACACCCACTCCACTGTCAGGTCATGTTGCCTGCACCTCCACAGTCTGTCCAGAATTTCACCACTTGTCTCTGCCATTTTTTTTTTTTCTTTTTTGAGATGGAGTCTTGCTCTGTCACCCAGGCTGGAGTGCAGTGGTGCAATCTTGGCTCACTGCAACCTTGACCTCCTGGGTTCAAGTGATTCTCCCACCTCAGTCTCCTGAGTGGCTAGGATTACAGGTGCCCACTGCCATGCCCAGCTAATTAAAAAAAATTTGTGTGTGTGTGTGTGTTTTTTTTTTTTTTTTTTCTTTTTTAAGACAGAGTCTCACTCTGTCACCCAGGCTGGAGTTCAGTGGTGCAATCTCAGCTCACTGCAACCTCTGTCCCCTGGGTTTGAGTGATTCTTGTGCCTCAGTCTCCCAAGCAGCTGGGATTACAGGTGTGTAATCCCAGCCAGAACAAAGGCCAGTCGACAGTGGGGGAACCAGTGCAGTTTAGGCAGAGAATGGTAAGTGCCAAGGTCCTGGGGCTGGACCACGTCCACCGTGTCTGAGCAGCCAGGAGGCTTGTGTGGCCCGAGCGGAGCGAGTCAGGGAGAGGGTGGGAGGGCTGCAAGGTGATGTGGCGGACAGTGTCACATCTTTGTGGGCCAAGGGGAGGACATTAGCTTTTACTCTGAGTGAAGTGGCAGCCATAGAGGGTTCTTGAGCAGAGGAGGGTACTGCCACTGCACTTCAGCCTAGGCGACAGTGAGAGAGACTGTCTCAAAAAAAAAAGGCCATCTTCTCTACTCCTGATATCCCCCTGACCTTCTAGTTTTGTTCATGACACTTGGTGACAAAACATGGCATGGCTGTCTGTCCCCACCCTGCTGCTCCCCCTGCACACACAGGCTAGAATTCAGGTCCCATGAAGCCCAGAGCCTGGCTTTATTGTTATTATTTTTTTGAGAGGGAGTCTCTTGTTGCCCAGGCTGGAGTGCAATGGCATGATCTCGGCTCACTGCTACCTCCGCCTCCCAGGTTCAAGCGATTCTCCCGCCTCAGCCTCCCCAGTAACTAGGATTACAGGCGTGCGCCACCACGCCCAGCTAATTTTGTATTTATAGTACAGACAGGGTTTCTCCATGTTAGTCAGGCTGGTCTCAAACTCCTGGCCTGATGATCCACCCGCCTCAGCCTCCCAAAGTGCTAGGATGACAGGTGTGAGCCACTGTGCCAGACTCCTAGCTTGGTTTTCTTCACTGCCATATCCCGGGACCTGGAACAGCGCCTGGGATGTGGATGGAGGGAGGCAGGAATGAATGAATGGATATATGAACGCAGGCTCCCTAAGCTTTCTTGGCTGATGGCAGGGCTAGTGTTAAGGTCCTATTCTGCATTCTGCACCAGAGCTGTCTCCGTCTCTGACACAGGCTTTGGGACTGTGCCTGAGCCGGCTGCTGCGGGCGCCCTTACAGCAGGCGGGAGCGAGGCTGCGGCCACTAGGGGTCAGTGGAGAGCGTTGCAGCCTCCGCTGCTTGCCGCCAGTCATCCTGGTGGTGATGGGTCGGCTCGGCCTCTGCAGAGAAAGTGTCTCTCTATTGTTGGGGTTGGGGTTCACTATGACCTGCTCGTGAGGCACCACTGCACCAGCTGTCTGGCCCTGGCTTCCTGTAGATGGGGCCCTTCAACAGCATGGTCAGTGTCCCAGGAGAAAGGACCTGCGTGTCCTGCCAGGGCTTGGCCCACTGTGCATCTGGCATGGGTGTTCTGCTAGCGTTGGCCTAATCATATTTATTTATTTATTTATTTTTTGAGTCGGATTCTCACTCTGTCGCCCAGGCTGGAGTACAGTGGTGCCATCTCAGCTCACCGCAACCTCCGCCGTTCCGGGTTCAAGCAATTCTCCTGCCTCAGCCTCCTGAGTAGCTGGGATTACGGGCATGCGCCACCACGCCTGGCTAATTTTGTATTTTTAGTACAGACGGGGTTTCTCCATGTTGGTCAGGCTGGTCTGGATCCCGACCTCAGGTGATCCACCCATCTCGGCCTCCCAAAGTGCTGGGATTACAGGTGTGAGTCACTGAGCCCGGCCTGGAGTGAGGAGGTCACTCTTAAATAGATGTCCCGGCCAGGTGTGGTGGCTCATGCCTATGATTCCAGAACTTTGGGAAGCTAAGGCAGGCAGATCACTTGAGGTCAGGAGTTCGAGACCAGCCTGGCCAACATAGTGAAACCCCATTTTTACTAAAAATACAAAAATTAGCTGGGCGTGGTGGCATGCGCCTGTAGTCCCAGCTACAGGGAGGCTGAGGCAGGAGAATCGCTTGAACCTAGGAGGTGGAGGTTGCGGCGAGCTGAGATTGCGACACTGTACTCCAGTCTGGGTGACAGAGAGAGACACTATCTCAAAAAAAAAAAAGAAAAAAGAAAAAAAGAAAGATGGCCAGGAACGCCTTGTCAGGCAGTCCTCTGAAGGCCTCAGGAGGGCAGGGAGGAACCCTTTGGTGCGGAGGAGAGCCTTTGGGCAGAGGGCAAAGCCAGTGCAAATGCCGCCGCCTCCCTCGGGACTGCCCTGTGATTCTGCTTCTCTGGGTTGTTGACCCACCAGGCAGGTGTGGTCCCCCGAGAGCCCCTCTTTCTGCTCCTCCTACCCCCATTAGTAATATCTTCATAATCATAAAGACAGTGGAGACCGGGGCCCTGTTATCTGCCCGTGGCCCTGGGCGCTCCCTTCTGGGCTGGGGAGGCCCAGACCTCGCCCCGCTCCCCTCCTGCAGGGTGGGCTTCGGTCCCTACCTGTGTCCTGGCCCTTGGCTGCCCTGACCTCTTGCTGCCACGAGTTGCTATGGGCTGGGCCTGGGAATCTTGGGCCTCTTGGTGAGAATTCCTCTCAGGCTAGTGGAACTGTCATCACAGAGCCACATGCCGCCAGAGCGCCTGCCCGCCTGACCGCTCCTGTCCTCTCCCTGCCCATCATGCTGGGGGCTCTGGGGCTACACCCATTGCCCGTGACTAGCCCTCAGACCCGCTGACACCAGTAGCCCCCACCACAGGCCTCCCTTCATTCGCCCAGAAATCTGAGCCCCTCCCAGCCCCTCTGTGGGCTTCCTCTGGAGGGCCCCCTTCTCCTCCTGCCTCACCGCTTCTCCCAGAGATGTGGTGGGAGCCTGCCACCTCCCTGTCTGTGCCCAGGACCCCCTTCCTGGGGCTTTTCTCAGCAGCCACCTGTGCCCTCTGCAGCCCTGGGCATCCCCTGAGAGCCCCGGCCCTCTGCTGGGCTCAGGCCTGGGCAGGCGTGTGTGTGTGTGTTTGTGTGTGTGTGTTTGTGTGTGTGTCACAGAGCAGGGGTTGGGGTGGCAGTGGGGTGTGGGGGGTGAACCCTTGCTGAGGTCTCACATTAGATCCTCCCTCTGGTGGGGGGGGGCGGGGAACCTCTCCTGCTCCTGCTACCTGACTGGTTTTATTTTGATGGGTATTTGAGGCCCCTGTTTATTATCCCTGGCCCCTTTAAAAAGTATTTATTGAGGTGAAATTCACATAACGTGAAACTAACCGTTTAAAAGTGAACAGTGGCACTGAGTGCATGCACAGTGTTGTGCAGCCTCCACCCCTGTTTCGTTCCAGAACATTTTCCTCACCCCAGAGGAGACCAGGTGCCCAGCATCAGCTTCCCCATCCCGCTGTCCCCCACCCAGCCCCTGGCCACCTCCAATTTGCTTTCTGTCTGCTCTGGGCATTTCGCATAGATATGGAACTGTTTGTGTCTGGCTTGCTTCACCTAGTGTAACTTGTTTCTTTTCACCCCCACCTGGAATAGCTTATTTAACTTTTTACTTTGAGATAATTATAGGCCAGGCGCGGTGGCTCACACCTGTAATCCTAGCACTTTGGGAGGCCGAGGTGGGTGGATTGCCTGAGCTCAGGAGTTCGAGACCAGCTCGGGCAACATGGTGAAACCTCATCTCTCCTAAAATACAAAAAATTAGCCGGGCGTGGTGGCATGTGCCTGTAATCCCAGATATTCGGGAGGCTGAGCAGGAGAATCGTTTGAACCCAGGAGATGAGGTTGTGGTGAGCCGAGATCTTGCCACTGCACTCCAGCCTAGGTCACAGAGCAAGAATCCATCTCAAAAAGAAAAAAAAAAAAAAAAAAAAAGAAATACAGAGTCATGGGGATTTGTAAAAACAGTACGGAGAGGTCCCATGTTCCCCCCAGGGCCTTTCCGTTCTCTCTCTAGGGGGAGATGGGCGATGGGCTGGGGATTTGGGGCAGGCATGGGAGAGGGCAGCCGTCCTTTGGGGGCCCCGAGGCACTGCCCTGCAGCCCAGGCTTACCTCCTTGCAGGTTCCGGCATCTCCTCTCCTAGGGCCTCAGGCTGGCCTGGGTGCTGCCACCGCAGCTGTGAGTGTGGCCCCTCTCTAGGCCGCCCCCTCCTGCCGCTGCCCTCGTCCTGTCCCAGCAGCTAGCCGGGACTCGACGGCTGTTCTCTCCCTCCTGGGCTCTGGTTCGGTGCCCGGGTTGGGGGAGCAGGGTAGGATTTCACCCCTCCCACTAGCAGCTGGCTGGACAGGGAGAGGGGCTAGTTGTATTTTAAGCTGTTGAGTGGTTTAGCAGGAACTCGGAGGCCTCCTCTCCCTGTGGACACTGGGCTGCCTTCCTGCGGGCCATACGGGCTTGGAGGCATGTGGGCACTGCCTGCTTGGGGCCCAGGAACTATTAATATACTTGCAGCCACAGGGCAGGCCCCGTGCCCGCCCAGGGCCCTGCTGTGCTAACCCTTCCCCATGTATCCCGCCCAGTGTCCTCTGTCCCTCTCCCGCAGATCCCCGTGGTAGGGCCTGGTGTCCTGTGTGGTGTGACCGAGCTCTTTTTCCTGGCCCCCGCCATGGGCCAGCTCTCTGCTCTTGTTATCCCTGTGGCTTGGCGGGGTTCAGTAACCTTCCCTGAAAGGCCACACGGCCAGGCAGAGTGTGGAGTTGACAGCAGGGACTCAGGAGGCCCCATGGGCCAGGATTTCCTCACTGCTGGGCCCATTCCCACCCTCATGTCCAGAAAGGGGTGTGAGTGTGTCATAGCTGGGGAAGTAGGTCCCCCTGCTGTGGGGGCGCCTGCCTAAACCTTCCCTGAGCCCTGATCCTTTCCACACTTCGAGAGAGGCTCTCTGCACCAATAACTCCAGAATCTGTCACCTCCCTAGTAACACAAATGCACAAGGAAAATATCCAAAGTGTCTCTTACAGCTCAGAAGGGGAAATGGATGATCTGTCTGGCAGAGTCTCAAAATAGCTGGGATTTCTCCAAGCCCAGTCAACTCTCCAGGCCTGAGCTTCGAGCCGGGGCCTGGGTGGCCTGCTTGTCTCTCCCGCCTCCTCAGGCTACTGGCTCTGTGTAGGGTGGGGGCTGGGAGGTGTCGCCATGCCCACTCTCAGGGCTCTCCCTGCCCTCGTGCTGCTGACGGGCTGTGAACACTCAAAAGCTGCTTTCAGGGCAGCCTGGCTCCTGGGGGGTGACTCCCAAACCCCCCTCAGAGAAGGTCTGTGGCTCAGGTTCTGGGGGGGGGGGCGCACTATCTGGTGGTTTTATATTTAGCTGGGCTGTGGCTGTGGTTGCCACTCGGGTTACATCTGGCACAGGAGCCGGCAGCACCAGGGCCGGCACGGGCTCCTTTCCAGCACCGCGGCAGAATTTGATCGCGCCTGCCCGGCCCAGGGCTGCTTTGCGTGGGGAGGTCGGTGGTGGGGGCTGACGGCCGGCAGCTGGGGCTGCTGGCCACCGTGGGCAGATCCGAGCGGCAGGGCGGGTGGCAGGCAGCATGGACATGAACTTGAGCCTGGTGGCCCGGGAGGCCACCCCAGGCCTCCTCCCTGGTCTCAATGGGCTCCCCAGGCCCGCACCTCCAAAGGTGACCAAGAAACCTAAAAAGGCTGTTCTCTTCTTCGAGGTGGAGATTCTGGACGCAAAGACAAGGGAGAAGCTGTGTTTCCTGGACAAGGTAGGACTGGGGTATGGGCTGCCCTGGGCCAAGGGCACTGGGCCTGGGGTCCCGTTCTTTCCAGCCTAGGAGCTGTCCAGCTGGGCCCTTCATGCCCCACCCCCCTGTCCTATGTAGGGGTATGCCCTCACTTGGGGTAGGGTGGATAGCTGTGGCCCCTGGGTGTGGTGGAAATGGAGGCACAGCAGCCTCAGTGGTCCCTGCAGGGATTTGGGTCCTGGGAGGGTGGTAGAGGAGTGAGCCTTGTCTCTGCTGAGGCCAGGCCTGGGGGAAGGGGCTTGGGCTGTCTGTCCCTGGGAAAGACAGAGGGCCTTTGCTCCTGGGGGAGTCATGGGTGAGGAGTGGAGAGGAGGGGCAGAGAAATGCTTAATCTGCCTCTAGCCGGGCTGGGGGCATGCCGGCCGAGGCCCACGGTGTCCTCACACTGGTACGGCCCTCGCTGCTCCTTCCCTGACCATGGAGGCAGAGGCCTGGACCCTAGCCCTTCCCACTTCCCATAGCTGCAGCCCAACTCACAGCCTGTCCTCCCCTTCATTACCTCCCCATCCTGGGTCCCTGTGGCCTGTGCTTCCCCCAGGTGGAGCCCCACGCCACCATCGCGGAGATCAAGAACCTCTTCACAAAGACCCGTGAGTCCGAGGCCTGGCCACACTGCCATCTGCAATCCCTCTGACCAGGAACCTCAGGGTGGGAGGGATCCCGTCCTGCATGCCTCTCCCGGGGCCTGCAGAGATGCCCTGTGTGGCCCAGGCTTCTGGGGTGTGACTGGGGCAGGCGCCCCCACGTGGCACTCTGCAGGAACGCCCTTGCTGGGCTCTGGAAAGGACAGGATCCTGCTTCTGTCCGTGCTCTTCCGGCCAGTGGCCTGGAACTGCACGGGCCTGAGGCCTTGCCCCCAGGGGGTAGGAGCTGTGGGGGTCCCTGCATCCTGGGAACCCCGAGACGCTGACACAGCGGCTAGGCAGCGGACCTGTTGAGCCCTGCCAGACTGTGGGCTGACTGCCCTGTTCTCCCCGCAGACCCGCAGTGGTACCCCGCCCGCCAGTCCCTCCGCCTGGACCCCAGTGAGTATAGCTGTCCGCTCGGCCCACCCCCTGGGCTCCTGGGGGCAGTGTGAGAAGGCCGGGACAGCCCATGAGCCCTGGCCTGCCTCTCTGCAGAGGGCAAGTCCCTGAAGGATGAGGATGTTCTGCAGAAGCTGCCCGTGGGCACCACGGCTACACTCTACTTCCGGGACCTGGGGGCCCAGATCAGCTGGGTGACGGTGAGTCCTAACGCTGCCCACGGCCTCCTTTCCCGTCAGCCGACTGGGTGACTCATCTTGCTCCCTCTACCCTCAGGTCTTCCTAACAGAGTATGCGGGGCCCCTTTTCATCTACCTGCTCTTTTACTTCCGAGTGCCCTTCATCTATGGCCACAAATATGACTTCACGTCCAGCCGGCACACGGTGGTGCAGTAAGTGGGGCAGGCGGGGGGAGGGTAGGGGAAAGCGGAAGACCTGCCGGACCAGCCCCCGCTGAGCCCGCTCCCCCCGACCAGCCTCGCCTGCATCTGCCACTCATTCCACTACGTCAAGCGCCTGCTGGAGACGCTCTTCGTGCACCGTTTCTCCCATGGCACCATGCCTTTGCGCAACATCTTCAAGGTGAGAGCCCGCCCTGCCTCCCCGCCCCAGCCCGCCCCCGCCGAGCCCCACTCCTAGGCCCCTCCTGTTCACCACGCCCTCAGAGCCGTGCCTTAGCCCCACCCCTGCAGAGCCCCGCCCCAGCCTCACCCGTAGGCCCCTCCTGTTCACCACGCCCTCAGAGCCCCGCCCCAGCCTCACCTGTAGGCCCCTCCTGTTCACCACGCCCTCAGAACCCTGCCTTAGCCCCACCCCTGCAGAGCCCCACCCCAGCCTCACCCGTAGGCCCTTCCTGTTCACCACGCCCTCAGAGCCCTGCCTTAGCCCCACCCCAGCTTCACCTCTAGGCCCCGCCTATTCTCTGCAGCCCTACCGCCACAGAGCTCTGCCCCAGCCTCACCCCTAGGCTCCTGTCCTCCCCTACCATGCTTCCAAGCCCCTAGGGATGAGACATGGGCAGAACCTGTCCTCTCCAGCTCTGGCCCAAGTCGCATCCCTGCTCTGCTCCCTTTCAGAATTGCACCTACTACTGGGGCTTCGCTGCGTGGATGGCCTATTACATCAACCACCCTCTCTACACACCCCCTAGTAAGTAGCCTGAGACCGTGCTTCCCTCCCCCATGGCCCCCACCCACCGGGCCCTCCCCTTATGGGCTCCCCTCCTTGCTTCCTTTTCAGCCTACGGTGCTCAGCAGGTGAAGCTGGCACTCGCTATCTTTGTGGTAAGGAGGCTGGAGGTGGGGACGGGGTTGGGGGAGCCTGGGTGGCCCTGGGCTGATCCTGCTTCTCTGACAGATTTGCCAGCTCGGCAACTTCTCCATCCACATGGCCCTGCGGGATCTGCGGCCCGCTGGTGAGTGCCTGCAGGGGGCAGGGGGACAGCTGGGCTGGGTGAGGGGGTCTGACTTTCTCTTTCTGCCTTGCCTACCAGGGTCCAAAACTCGGAAGATCCCATACCCCACCAAGAACCCCTTCACGTGGCTTTTTCTGCTGGTGTCCTGCCCCAACTATACCTACGAGGTGAGGGGCTGCCTTGCTCATTCCTCTCTGCCCTGGGGCTTGGAGTTCCATGTGGAGGGGCCAGCCTCTAGGAGGGGCGCCTGGCTGGGCAGCTGCTTCTGCCCCTTGCACAGGGAGCATTGGGAGGTGGAGACTGCTGCCTCCCTGCCCTGGGAGCCGGGAGGCGTGTGCTGCTGCGTTTCCGCTGTATACAGCCATGCCTACACTGGAATTGGGCTTCCACCGCTGACTCAGGAAGCAGGGCTGTGGGGAGGTGGCTGGGCGAGTCCAGGGTAGCCACATGCACGGGGTGGGCGAGGCTGGCAGAACAGTGGTCCTTGCCCAGCCCTGCCGGCCCTCATCCTCCGCCCCTGCCCACAGGTGGGGTCCTGGATCGGCTTTGCCATCATGACGCAGTGTCTCCCAGGTGAGCCTGCCGCCCTCCCTCTGTGGGGCCCTGCTCCTCTGGGCAGGCAGCTCCTCCCTGACGCCTGTTCTTCCCTGCAGTGGCCCTGTTCTCCCTGGTGGGCTTCACCCAGATGACCATCTGGGCCAAGGGCAAGCACCGCAGCTACCTGAAGGAGTTCCGGGACTACCCGCCCCTGCGCATGCCCATCATCCCCTTCCTGCTCTGAGCGCTCACCCTTGCCTGGGCTCAGCCCCCACCTGGGGGCATCCCAGGGGAGGGGCGGGACTCACAGCTCTTCAGCACCTGGAATAAAACCACCTGCCCGTTGGACTCAGGCTCTGTGTGTTTCATTCTGGGCTTGGGACCACCACACTGCCCCTCGCTCTCCCCAGCCTCAAGTTGACACGGTAAGAGGGGGCTCAGGCTGAGGGGCCCAAAGGTTTTATTTGGTTCATAGGGTGGGGGACGCACCCCCTACAGGGACACCTCAGGGGCCACTTTTCCGGGTCCCTGGCCTTTGGCCAACTCTGCCGCCGCCTTCTTCTCCGCCTTCTTCTCCCGCCGCTGCTTCCGCAGGAGCAGCCGCCGCTCCCGTTCAAACTCTTTCATGCGCATCACATAGCTGGGGCAGAGCGCCAGAGGGACTGTCAGGTCCCTGGCCAGGACATGGCCCCCACCCTCCAAGCACCGGGAAGCAGAGGGGCTGTTCCAGAGCACTGGAGGGGCCTCCAAAGAAGACAGACCTGTGTGCCCGTGGCTTGGGTCTGGGGTCTGCTTACGAAGGTGACAGGACCTCCCACTGGAAACTTGGCTTGGCCACTCCCCAGGAGGCTTCAGCCACTCCCCAGGAGGCTTCAGCCACCTGCCCTGTCCCCATCTGACAGGCCCCTAGAGAGCCCTCTCCGGGACTAAGGTGGGGCCAGGCTAGAAACCTCAGGGTCAGTTCAGGATCCTGGCCTCAGGAGCCACATCCTGCCTTGGGCCAGGGCCTGGGGGGGGGAGTGCAGACCAGAGATGTGGGGGACTCGAGCCAGCCAGGGCTATGGGGGATTCCGGTGGGCCAGGGGAGTGTGGGGCTCAGGCGGGCCAGGTCGTGGGGGGCCGGGTGTGGGGATGTGGGAGGCCGAGGACTCACTCTTGGTGCTCGCAGTACTCCCAGTCATGCCGCTCATGCTTGCAGGCCAGGATGTTGGGGAAGTTGTCGCGCTTGCACTTGAGCAGCCGGATGAGGTAGTGGGCACAGTAGTCCCGCAGCTGGAGCCTCAACTGTGCGTCCATCATCTGCTGCTGTGTGGCCACCATCTCTGCAGGGAATGGGTGGGGTTCAACCAGGCCAGAGGCCTCCCATCCCAATTCCAGGGATCCCACAGGGACCGAGGCACACGGCATCAGGAAGCCACACCTCGGGGTGTTCCCCATGGACATCCATGTGGCAGACAGCAGTGGATGGCAGCTGCCTCTCTCGGATACACTGTCCTGAAGGGGCCTCCATTTCCAATTTGCACAAAGCCCACTCCAGACACCCAGGCCCAGACAGAAGGCTCTCCATCACCCAAGGCACTTCAACTCCCACATGGGATACTCGCCTCCCCTCCCCCAAGGATGCCTGCCCCAACTCTCAACAGCCCCGCTTTTCATGCAGAGTCCCAGTTCAGAATCCACCTTCTCCCAGAGCACCCCCTTAGCCCCCAACCTGCACCTGGAGCTCCAGTCAGCACTCTTAGCCTTTCTTGTCTGAAACCTGCCTGAGTCCCAGCTCTGCAATGGCTGGAGGCATGGCCTCTCTCTCAGTCTCAGAACTGATCCTCAGGTCATGGACATTATCCAAGCATCCACCGAGCTAACAGAACCTGTAAGGTACTTAGGCACGGGCTCAGAAGACAGCTGGACTAGTCTTGGGGCCCCACTCACCTAGCAAACCCGACTCAGGACCGGGCTCAGAAGACAGCTGGACTAGTCTTGGGGCCCCACTCACCTAGCAAACCCGACTCAGGACAAACAGACCTTCAGGAGGATGCTGACGGGGGCGTCAGGAATCTTGGCAACTCACCCCCAGCCTGTGCTTGGCGATCCTGCACCCCTTCCCCGCCGCCTCCCTCAGACCCAGCCCCTGGCCCTCCTGACCTCCACATCTTTCTCTGTCCCAGCTGCTTCCCATTTGCCAAGTCAGACAGACACATTCACGTCTCAATGGCAGTTGTTCCAGGCTGGCTTCTCTCCCCTCTACTTCCCAGCTGCGATTCTCTCATCCCACTCAGACCCAGGTCCTCCTCTCCTGCCCCTTGTCCCACTCTTTGGCTTCTGCCCCAGCCTCTCACTGCCCAGACCCCACTCTCACAGGGCCACCCAACAGCCCAGGACACCAGCATCCCGCCAGCTTGCTTGCTTCTTTCCTGTGGCTCCTCCCACATCCCGCCTCCCAGGTTCCATCCCATCTCGATGGCTGCCCCACAGCCTTGTTCAGAGAGCCTTTTTCTTTTCTTTTCTCTTCTTTTTTTTGAGATGGAGTCTCACTCTGTCACCTAGCTGGAGCACAGTGGCACAATCTCGGCTCACTGCAACCTCCGTCTCCTGGGTTCAAGCGATTCTCCTGCCTCAGCCTCCCAAGTAGCTGGGATTACAAGGGCCTGCCAACACACCCAGCCCATTTTTGTATTTTTAGTAGAGATGGAGTTTCACCATGTTGGTCAGGCTGGTCTCGAACTCCTGACCTCAAGTGATCCACCCACCTTGGCCTCCCAAAGTGCTGGGATTACAGGCGTGAGCCACCACACCCAGCCTGAGAGCCTTTTTTTCTGCTGCCACCCCGTATGTAGATGAGCCCAATGTGGTCCCTCTACCCGACACCTCGCTTGAGCCCCCGGCCTGGGTATGACCTGCAGCCCCCCAGCCGTTCCCTATCGGCGCTTGGAGCTCCAGGTGGCAATCCTAGACTCCTCTGCTTTGGCCTCAAACTTACAATCAGCTAGTAGCAAAGACCTCACAATAACTATTGTGTGCTTAGCAGTTGGGATACAGCAGGCAACACGATGCACAAGCATCCCTGCCCTCAGAGGGAGACACAAAACAGAACACAGAGCGCCAGAGCGTGTTAGGCAGTGCTTAAGCATTAGGGAGACCAGCCTGCGCAGCACAGGAAGACCCCATGTCTAGAAAAACATAATCAAATGATCTGGGCATGGTGGTGCACACCTGCAGCCAGAGCTATCAGGAGGATCGCTTGAGCCTAGGAGTTTGAGGCTTCAGTGAGTGACAGGTATGCCACTGCACTCCAGCCTAAGCAACAGAGCAAGAGCCCACCTCTGTAAATAAATAAATATGGGCCTGGCACGATGGTTCACGCCTGTAATCCCAGCACTTAGGGAGGCCAAGATGGGTGGATCACTTGAGGTCAGGAGTTCCAGACCAGCCTGGCCAACATGGCAAAACCCTGCCTCTACTAAAAATATAAAAATGAGCCAAGCGTGGTGGCGTGTGCCTGTAATCCCAGCTACTCAAGAGGCTGGGATGGGAGAATCGCTTGAACTGGGAAGGCAGATATTGCAGTGAGCAAAGTGACTGGCTGAACGGGGCTGGAACGGAGGAAAGCAGGGCAGGGGACGGTGGCCTAGGAGGGAGGGAGAGAGTGAAGGATTGGGAGGTAAGAGAAACGCCAGGCAGCATGAAGAGTCCACGGGAGAACCAATCAGCAGACCAGTCAGAAGGGACTGCAGGAACGGAAGCCCAGATAATTTAATAATAAAAAAACAATTTGGCCAGGCGCAGTGGCTCACTCCTGTAATCCCAGCACTTTGGGAGGTTGAGGTGGGTGGATCACGTGAGGTCAGGAGTTCGAGACCAGCCTGACCAACATGGTGAAACCCTGCCTCTACTAAAAATACAAAAAGCTGGGTGTGGTAGCACATGCTTGTAATCTCAGCTACTCAGAAGGCTGAGGCAGGAGAATCGCTTGAACCTGGGAGGCAGGGGTTGCAGTGAGCTGGGGATAGCACCACTGCACTCCAGCCTGGGCAACAGAGCAAGACTCTGTCTCAAAAAAAAAAAAAAATTGTAGAGATGGGGTCTTGCTATGTTGCCCAGGCTGTTCTTGAAATTCTGGCCTCAAGCAATCCTCCTGCCTCAGCCTCCCAAAGCATTGGGATTATAGGCACAAGCCATTCTGCCTGGCTCAGAGTTGTTTTTTTCTTATCTCCCCCATCATTATGTTCAGTTGCACAGGGACAGGCACCAAGGAAGGGAAGGGGATGAGTTTATCCAGAGTGAGCGAGCAAGAAGGGCAGCGGGTTGCTGGCATTTGCAAAGCTGATCTTGGGTAAGGCAGGATATGTGAGGCAGTGGGAGGGAGGTGAACGGACCAGTGGACTGCAGGTTCACTGGGGTGGAAGGCCTACCTGGATTGAGGACACTGGAGTCATGATACCACCTCCCAACTTTCTCTCAAAGTTTCTCTCAGGCTGCTTAGAGGTCTGTCTCAAGCTTGTTGCCCACTCAGCAGACAGTGGGACCTCTGGATCAACCAAACCTGATTGTGTCCCTCCTCTGCTTAGAAGCCTTGGCTCTGCCACCTCTCTCTGGTCAATCCCTATCCATGCCCTGTCACATCTTTTTATCTTTTTTTTTTTTTTTTGAGACAGAGTCTCACTCTGTCACCCCGGCTGGAGTGCGGTGGCCTGATCTTGGCTCACTGAAACCTCCACCTCCCTGGTTCCAGCAATTCTGCCTTAGCCTCCCAGGTAGCTGGGATTACAGGCGTGCGCCACCACCCCCGGCAAATTTTTATATTTTTAGTAGAGATGGGGTTTCACCACTTGGCCAGGCTGGTCTCGAACTCCTGACCTCAGGTGATCCGCTGTCTTCGGCCTCTCAAAGTGCGGGGATTACAGGTGTGAGCCACTGTGCCTGGCCTAATTTTTGTATTTTGTCATAGAGATGGCGTTTTACCATATTAGCCAGGCTGGTCTTGAACTCCTGATCTCAGGTAATCCCCCCCACCTTAGCCTCCCAAAGTGTTGGGATTACAGGCATCAGTCACTGGGCCCAGCCACCCTTCACGTTTTTGTTTCCAGCCACTGCCTCCTGGAAGCCTGCCTGGATACCCCCCAGCTCTGCCTGATTCTACTATCTTTCCCACTGAGCTGTGAGTTCTCTGGAGACAGGGCCTGCATCCCTCCTGTTCCCTGCCGTATCTGCAGTGCCTAATGTGGGGCGTGGCCCAGAGCTAGCGCTCTCATGCCTGTGATATTACTACATACATTAAAAACAAAAACAAACACAGGAACCAAAAAACAGCAGTGGCTCACATCTGCAATCCCAGCATTTTGGGAGGCTGAGCAGGATCACTTGTGCCTAGGAGTTTGAGACCAGCCTGAGCAACATAGCAAGACCCTCGTCTCTACAAAAAACAAAAAATCAGACTGGCATCCGGGCACACTCTTGTAGTCCCAGCTACTCAGGAGGCTTAGGCGGGAGGATAGCTCGAGCCCAGGATGTCGAGAATGCAGAGAGCTGTGATGGTGCCACTGCACTCAGCCTGGGCAACAGAGCAAGACCCCATCTCTACGAACAGTACAAAAAATCAGCCGGACGTGGTGGCACACATCTGTAATCACAGCTACTCGGGAGGCTGAGGCAGGAGAATCGCTTGAATCCGGGAGGTGGAGGCTGTAGTGAGCCAAGATCGCGCCACTGCACTCCAGCCTGGGCAACAGATTGAGACTGTCTCAAAAAAAGGCTCGGCCCAGCTCTGCGAGCCGCATTCCTGCCCGATCCCCCACTTGTCGCCTTTCTTTTGTCCCCTGGCTTTTGCTCCAGCCGTACCCTTGGCCTGGAACGCCTCCACACTCAGGCGGGGTCACGCGCGTCCTCTGAACTCCTCCGAACCCAGTCTAGACCCAAACCCAGACACAACACGTGAAGTTAGGGCCCAGCTCTGGGGATCCCGGGGTTCGGGGGTTCAGGCGCCGGTGCCAAGCGCCCTCCGGCCGCGCCTGCGCACTGGGCCTCACCGCGCTCCTTGCGCTCCGGGAAGCCATAGTCGGGAGGGAAGGTTGGCAAATTCAGGGGGTCGGGTTCCGTCGAGGCATCGCCGAAGTAGCGCCGGACCAGGTGCGCCCCCATGGCTGCAGTCGCCGCAGGTTCCTGCAGCGGCCGAGGGTCACCGCGCTCCTACCCGGAAGCACTGACCCCTCAGCTAGGCGTGGCTTCCGGGTCGCTCAGGCCGCGGCGGAGATCATAGAGATGAAGGACTCCAGAGGGCGGCTCCGGTCCGCATGGCGTCACCTCGCGGACAGGTAGAGGCGGGACAGGTGCTGCGTCCCCTCGCAGGATATAGCTGGACGGGAGAGGGGACTTCCCTGAGCCTGGAAATCCATCTGGGCGGGGCAGAAGGGGACGACGTGGGACTGAGGCCTCCCGCGACCCTGTCTGGGACTCTTCTGGAAGCCCGAGGCTAAAGCACATATTAAAATTATTTTTCATATATTTTCCAAAAAGTATATTCTTCTAAAACATTAAAATTTCTCTTTAAAAAAAGGCACAATATCGATTATATCGTTAATGTATGTAATTTTGAATAAAGTTACTTTAATTTTTTTTTTTTTTGAGACACAGTCTCTGCCGTTCAGACTGGAGTGTACTGGCGCGATCTTGGCTCACCGCAACCTCCTCCTCCCGGGCTCAAATGATTCTTCTGCCTGAGCCTCCTGAGTAGCTGGGATTACAGGCGCCTGCCACCACACCCAACTAAGTTTTGTATTTTTAGTAGAGACCGGGTTTCGCCATGTTGGCCAGGCTGGTCTCGAACTCCTGACCTCAAGTGATTCCCCCCGCCTCAGCCTCCCAAAGTGCTGGGTTTATGGGCTTGAGCCAACGCGCCTGTCCAAGAAATATTTTGATTAAATTTAATATAAATAAAAGTTATTCATAAATACAATTATTATTATGTTATTTTTTGAGACAGGGTCTCATTCTGTCGCCCAGGCTGGGGTGCAGTGACACAACCATAGCTCACTGCAACCTTGAACTCCTGGGCTCTGGAGATCCTCTTGCCTCAGCCTCTCAAAATGCTGGGATTACAGGCATGAGCCACCGTGCCCTGCCAAAAACAATTATTTAAAGCTGAAATTTTAAATAAATTGTATCATAATATATAAATGTAATCTTTATGTAATTTAAAAATATATATCTTATAAATAATATTAATATCTAATCTATATTTTTCCCCAATCTGACGAAGCATGTATTAGACCCATCTGCTGTATGCTGGGTCTAGAGATCAGAAAGGTAGGCATGGCTCCTGCATTGCAAGCTTACAGTCTAATGGAAGAGAAAACCATAAAAAATATGGGCTAGGGCAGTGGCTTACACCTGCAATCCCAGAGCTTTGGGAGGCTGAGATGAGAGGATCACTTGAGCTCAGGAGTTTGAGACCAGCCTGGGTAATATAGGGAGATCCTGTCTCTACAAAAAAAAAAAAAAAAAAAAAAATTAGCCAGTGTTGTGGTGCACTCCTGTAGTCCCAGTTACTTGGGAGGGTGGGGCGGGAGGATAGCTTGAGCCTGGGAGTTCCACGCTGCAGTGAGCCGTGATCCCATTACTGCATCCAGCCTAGGTAACAGAGTGACTCTGTCTATACAAATTCCCAGGTGATGTGCCGTCGCTGCTCTAGGGATCAACTGTGGGAGATCTACTCAGCTAGATCTTCATGTGTTCACATGGGGGAGTGACTGCTGATATATTAAGTGAAAAAAGCAAGCTATAGAGAATAGACAACTGGCTGTTAGAGACTTTCTTTCCAGGGCTACCTGTGTGACCTGTCCCTATCTCCAGGCCACCACGTTAATTTATGATTCTTGTGCCCTTCCAGACTCAAGGGGGCAGCATTCACATTGTGATCGCTATGAAGGGTGCTTCTGGAGTTGTGCAGTGCACAGCCTGCACATCTGCACCTGATACCCCTGTCTTATTCTGGGTGTCTCTCCTTAACCTCCCTTCCTCTGTGCTTCAGCTACTCACCCAGAGGTCAGAGCTCACAGAGAGCCCAGAGAGGCAAGTTAGAGTACTAGCTCACTCTCCTGTGTGACCTCTGGAAGTGATTTTATTTATTGGAGACTGAGTTTACTCATCTGTAGAATGAGGTCCTCAATACCGATCTTATAATATTTCCTGCCAGCGAGGGCTCCCCTCTTGATGGATCCCACCCCTTTCCTGGTTTTATTTATTTATTTTTTTGAGACAGGGTCTTGCCCTATTACTCAGGCTGGGGTGCAGTGTCATGATCTTGGCTCACTGTGGCCTCTGCCTCCTGGGCTCAAGCGACCCTCCTGCCTCAGCCTCCCGAGTAGCTGGGATTACAGGTGTGTGCCACTACGCCTGGCTAATTTTTGTATTTTTGTAGAGATGGGGTTTTGCCATGTTGCCCAAGCTGATCTCAAACTCCTGGGCTCAAGCGAACCTCCCACCTTGGCCTCCCAAAGTGCTGGGATTACAGGTGTGAGCCACTGCACGGGGCCATATTTTCCTTCTTAGCACTTAGCACCATTTAAGCTGTGATCCGTTTGACTTACTTGTTTATTATTGGCTTCTCCTCTCAACTCAGCTCTGTGAAGCAGGGAGTTTTGTCTGTCTTGTTCACTGCCATATTCCTGCACCTAGAACAGAGCTGGCCTGTAGCAGGTTCTTAGTAAATCTTTGTTGACTAGGCTGGGTGTGGTGGCTCATGACTGTAATTGCACAGCTTTGGGAGGTGGAAGCAGAAGGATCACTTGAGGATAGGACTATGAGGTCAGCCTGGGCAATATTGGGCAACCCCTGTCTCTGCAAAAAATAAAAATGATAGCCAGGCTGGTGGCATGCGCCTGTAGTCCCAGCTACTTGGGAGGCTGAAGTGGGAGGACTGCCTGAGCCCAGGAGGTTGAGGCTGCAGTGAGCAATGATCATGCCACTGTACTCCAGCCTGGGCAACAGAACAAGACCCCATCTCTGAAAATAAATAGAATGTAATACAATAAAATAAAACATTTGTAGAATAAACACACAAATAAATGAAGAGGGAAGAAGGTGGAAGAATCAGATAGTTGCATGAAAAGTGCTTACTGCCTGGCTTCCGGTAGGCGCTCAATACATGCTCGCTGTTGTTACTTTCTTCCGGGTCACACTCTATCGCTAGAAATCCAAACAAAGGAGGCTACTGTGACCAGTCGTTTCACCAGAGGCTGAAGGGGTTCAAGCTAGGGATTACTGGGGGTGGGGACAGAGGCATGTGGCCTATTCCATCCTAAGCTTCCAAGACTCAAATGGCTCAGCCTGTCCTAGCCTTACAGAGCCTTGGGGACCTGGGGGGAATGATATTGAAAGGGCTGTTGACTGGGGTGATAACTGAGGTTCGTTGTCTCCCAGCGGAGGAAATCAAGGATGTGGACACACAAAGAATGAGGTTAAGAGTGGAAGTTTGGCCGCGCGCAGTGGCTCACACCTGTAATCCAAGCACTTTGGGAGGCTAAGGTGGGTGGATCATCTGAAGTCAGGAGTTTGAGACCAGCCTGACCAACATGGAGAGACACTGCCTCTACTAAAAAAAAAAAAAAAAAAAAAAAAA